TGTGTGTGTGTGTGTGTGTGTGTGAGTGTGAGTGTGTGTGTGTTACCGGAATCCTCTCTGCAGGGCCAGCGGTGTTTGTGACAGGATGGACAGTGTATCGATCACCTGTCGATCACGAGCGTTCATTAGCGTGACATTATCATCATCATCACAGTAATCACACATCAATCACTCTCTCAGAGTTCAGACCTTCGCAAAGTCCCGGACGTCAAACAGGTCAAAGGCCTCGAAAAGCTCGTTCTTCTTCATACCGAATTTCTCCTGACAGGCACACAGGAACGTCCTGATGTTCTTCAGAGAGTGCTCAGGACCTCAGACTGGGCCGAAGGTTTATCTTCCAACAAGACAATGACCCTAAGCACACAGCTAAAATAACGAAGGAGTGGCTTCACAACAACTCTGTGACTGTTCTTGAATGGGCCAGCCAGAGCCCTGACTTAAACCCAATTGAGCATCTCTGGAGAGACCTAAAAATGGCTGTCCACCAACGTTTACTATCCAACCTGACAGAACTGGAGAGGCTCTGCAAGGAGGAATGGCAGAGGATCCCTAAATCCAGGTGTGAAAAACTTGTTGCCTCTTTCCCAAAAAGACTCATGGCTGTATTCGATCAAAAGGGTGCTTCTACTAAATACTGAGCAAAGGGTCTGAATACTTAGGACCATGTGATATTTCAGTTTTTCTTTTTTAATAAATCTGCAAAAATGTCAACAATTCTGTGTTTTTCTGTCAATATGGGGTGCTGTGTGTACATTAATGAGGAAAAAAAATTAACTTAAATGATTTTAGCAAATGGCTGCAATATAACAGTGAAAAATTTAAGGGGGTCTGAATACTTTCCGTACCCAATGTAGATATAAATAATGAATGAATGAATGAACGATAGATTCGTAAGACTTTCTGGGTGTATATAAGCAGTAGGATTTGTAGAAAGGAAAATTTAAGAAACAAAAAATAAGAATAAGGGCAAATCAGTAATTTATGAATAATTTACTGCTATTGTGTAAATGATATGTAATCATGTAAACTGTAAAAAAGTAACTGTAATCTGATTATGGGCACTTTAAAATGTAATATAATCTAATTACAAGTACTTAATCTTTGGAATCTAATTGCCTAATCCAGATAATGTGTAATAAATTACTATCCAGCTCTCCGAATGATAGACAGAAAGACACACAGAGACTTTGCATCATATATTGTGAGTTTACATTACTCAATATACGACAGACATAGTAAAACTGTGTGTGAGACACCGAGCAAATGCAGAAACAGCGTATACATCTGCATTTAAAGTACTTCTTGAGTGGCGCGTGTGTGTGTGTGTGTGTGTGTGTGTGTGAGAGTGTGTAGGAGGAAGTTAAGCCGAGAATAAGGAAGTGCAATGTAAGACTGTACACGAAACAAGTGCTGTAACCTTATCAGCAACACACACATTAAACTTTCTCAAATCTGTGTGTGTGTGACAGCCGAGGTTTCCATTAAACACAGGCAGTGACCACAGTGTTTGCCAAGTTCAGCTTGCTTGCTTTCTCTCTCTGTCTCTCTCTCACTCACACACACACACACACACACACACACTCATTTGCCATTAAGATTAGCAGCTGGTGATGGTAATCAGGTGATTTCCATATCACACAGATACTCTCTCTCTCTGTACCTGAGACATCTGGGGTCGCAGGTTAATCTGACGCAGGTTGACCGACTGCGGCAGCAGGTTATTGAGCAGCTGACAGAGTAACACTCCATCTCTGAGCGCATGGGCCAGATCACACACCTGTCAAACACACGAAACACATTCAGACAGACGAACTACACAGATCGCTTCTGACAGACAGATATTCACAGTACTGATCCGGCAGTCAGCACGACCATCAGGTCTATGAATCGCTGAACTCTTTTCTCACTCAGACACCAAAACTCAATGAGCTGGCCTACAGGCGAATTTGCACGTTTACAAACTCTTTTCAAAACGCAAGTTCAAAATCTAGCATAACAAGACAGCACTTTTGATACATTTCTACAGTAATAGCATATTGAAAATGCATCCCAGATCTAAATGATTAAACACAGAGATGTAGCTGAACACCTACATTGAAACAGAAACTATTTTCACTAAGAAATTGTTAGAAACTTTATCTACTTCAATAATCGTCCAAAAATAATTTGTACGTCATGCACAGCTGTTAGTCTTTTAATTTCATTACCATCTATACAAAAGGTGAAAATAAAGGAATCATTTTGTGCTGTAATGTAAACTTGGACACTGCAGTGAATTCTAGAGTTTATTTCTGGCTTTGTAAAGAACATTTACAGAAGAAAACGTTGCATAATGCTATCTGTTGTTGGTGTTTTAGGTCATTGTTTTATGAGTGATAATAAAGTGTGTTTGTTGGGTGAAAGTAATGGGAAAATGACCTGATTTGACACTGTATGAAGTGTTTGTGACTGTGTCATCATTTATTAATCCTCAAGCTTTTCCAAACCTGTTTGAGTTCATTTCTTCTGTTGAACACAATGGAAAAACTACTATGGAAGTCAATGACTACAACATTCTTCAAAAAATCTCCTTCTGTACTCAACAGAAGAAATAAACTCAAACAGGTTTGGAACAGCTTGAGGATTGATTAATGATGACAAAATGCTAATTTTTTTAGTGGACTATCCCTTTAAATGTTGTGCCAATCTGCAAGCTGGTCAAGAGTCTTGAAAAACTGGCCTAAGCATTGAAAAATGTGTCCTAGTGTTTGAAAAAGCTGATTCTTGGTAAGCGCTCACCTGTGCGTTGTCCCAGGTGACTCTGTGGTTCTCGGGAAGCACTCGGCACTGAATCAGCCATCCGGCACACTGTCTCCACAACTCCATCTCTAAACTCACCTCAATAGCAGTGCTGACGGCCCTCGGGTGACCTTCGGTGACCTAAAACCTTCCTGATGCGTCCATGATCCCGGTGTTAAACTACAAACCCAACACTCCTCACAGCAACTACTGAAATTAGCAGCACAGACTCAATCTAACTTGAATCTGGAAAGTGTCCAGTGCCTGAACGCGAGCTCATCAATGAAGCACCTCTCTCTCCTTTGACCTTTGCCGTCTTCCTGCTTCTTCAGGATGTCCAGTGAGAGTCTCCTCTGTCGTCTGCGTTTCTTGTTCTTTCCTCCGCGCCGCCGCTGCTGCTCTGCAACCCTACAGAGGGGAGGAAGCCTTTCAACTGCACACAACTTCCTCTTTCCTCTATGTCTCTCACACACACACACACACACACA